AACCTCAATTGCACTTGTAAAAAACATAAGTAAATAACGCCGTCGAATACATAACAAAAGAGAAGACAGGTAAATATAAAGACACACACATACAGAGAGCCAACTCTGTGCCAGTGAAAGGCCCCTTTCGGCCTACAAAAGTCGAAAAATAAAAAAAACGACGGAAAAATATGGAAAAAAACAAAACTCAAATGACGGGAAAGTGAACACAAATTGAGGTGAGTTACTACTTAGAAGCCAGAAAATGACTTCTAATTTTAGGAAGTTTTTTCATTTCAAACAAAAGAAACTTTCAGATTTATGAATCCCTTTCAGGAAGCACATCTTCTTAAGCTTCTTCTTAAGCTTATCTCGTGTTTATTTATGGAAATAAAAATGATGAGCCAGCAAGCCAAGCCAAGCCAAGAGATTGAAGGATTAATCACTGGACTTGCGTAAGTTGGGATTAAGGAATCAAATATTATAATGACTAACACAAGCTATATACTCATTTACTTAATAAGATAACTTCAGTTTCATTGCTCACATAATGAAACCCAAAGCCTGGAAATTCTTTCAATATTTTTTGGAATTTTTTTTTTGCAGTTTTCGTGATTCTTTTTCCTTTGCGATTTTGTCACGCTCGTCATATGAGACATTGAATGTGGAAATCAACAAGTTGCCGAAGAAAACGAAATGATAGGAAAACAGAATGCAGCAGAAGCGGCAAATTTGTGTACAAAATTTGCTAAGAAAACTTGTTTGGAATGTGATCAGAAATCAAGGGGGGGTGTTATATCTTTCCCCCTCCCTAGGCATATATAGATGGGGCGGTGATGGGTCTAACAATAAGTTTTATAGAGAGGAAATCACAGCAACCCACTCGTTGTTCTAAAAAAAGATCAACAATTGAATAGATTTTATCTATAAATTGTTCTCTCTGTGTTTGTGTTTTTGGTTTTGGTTTTTTGTTTGTTATAAATTTTTGTTTTAAATGCAAGGAAACTGTTAATCTAATAAGTCAATAGCATGGCATAGACCTGAAGAAAACGGAAAAGTAACAAAGTTAGAAACGTTTCCTGAATAAATCACCCGCCCTCTAACCTCCCCCCTTCCTCCCCTTAAAACTAAAACTATATCTCAAAGATATGTATCTTTAAAATACGATTTCTTAATAAAATGCTGAGATCGTTGGTCGCCTCTCACCGCCCAGCGAATAAATTCATTCAAATACATAAATAAAAAGTTGTTTGTGTTTTTTTTGTATATGTAAATCAGTATCGTAGTCCCAGGGGGGGCGTTTCGATTTGTTTATGTTCTTAAATATTAAATATACGGCGAATTTGGGCCATTAACTTGGCACTATAATGATTAACTTTTGATTTAATATATGTTTATGATCAATAAATATTTTGATTTTAATGCCTAAACATAGCCAGCTTGTGGTCTTATAATTCCCAACTGCTTGTTTGGCAACTGCCTGTTAGGAACATTAGGCGGCTGAGAGTAAAAGTGCTTGACTGTTGGCACTGTCAATTAACTTTGGTTTCTTGACTCTTCTCGTCTCGTTTCGTTTGCCATGAAGAAAACTATGAAAAATCACAACCCATAAAAGAGTGAACACACTGCAAGAAAAGCTAGAAGTTACTCTACTGGAATGGTTTTCCAAGTAATCATCTAGCACTTACAGGGTATTAGAGGTTGCCCATCTGACGAGCCCCCTTGCCAAATCCCATTCGGCTTGCATCACCTGACAGCCGACAACAAGTGGCAGACTCTCCTCCTGCCTGGTAGTTGGCGTATCGCTATCGGTCACAGTTAATTAGGAAATCTCACTTGCATAACGATCAGTGACAGAAAGTTTTTCTCCAATAAGTCATCAGACTTTTCCCCACTAAGGGCTAAGATAGCTCTTTCAATTTCAACATTCAACAACCTTCAAGAACCCAATAAACGATCTAAATAAGCATTTACTTAATGACATCTATTAATAACCCCCCCGCCCAAAAATCGTGCTAAATATATTCCGAATTCTTAATTAAAACACCTGAAAGTGAATATATATATATAAAGTGAATATATATAAACCGAGAATCGACGACAGCTTTGTACGATCATTAATCAAATTAATTGTGATGGATGAGAATTTCATAATTTCGGGCGATATGTGATGGGTCAGCGGTTTCAAAATCATTTTCGGTTCCAAAACATTTTGAGTCATATTTTTGGATTGTCGCACGTATCAGAAATGTGTAAAAGAAACCCGGCGGGCAAGAGGAAAATAAACAGCTAAGCACAACAAGCCAAAGTGAAAACGAAGCTGTTAAATAAGAAGTTCGAACCCAACAAAAAAAAAAAACAGCGAGGCGAAAACTTTCGCTTTGGCTTTGGACTTGGCCATCATCAACAGAAAACCAAAAACAAAAAACCAAAAAAACCAAAAAAAAGAAAGAAACTGGAAATGGAAATGTAAGAGCCATAGCCGGGGTCTTGGTCTTTATGACGACCTTTCTTATGTCACGTCTTCTCTCTTTGGTCTGCTGTCTTCAGTCTTCTGCCCTACAAAAAAAAAACCACAAGCGAATTTCTTTGACTTTTCACTTTTGGCCATATGCAAATTTACGGCCAACTCTATGTATGTTATGGGGTATTATGTCACGACCCTTGAACTCAAAAAATCTCAATAATTCCACACGTAGATGGCTGCTGCCTTCGTGCTCTCCCATCGAAATCGAAATTAGCACAAGACTACGAATAAGCCAAGTAAATAGTGTGAAACGCAGACTGATCATAATATCATAATCAAAATCATATGATAATCCTACGAGATTCCACAAACCAAAAACCAAAATTCTGTCCATCAAATTGTGTAATAAAAGTGTATGTTAAAAATAACAGCGAGCGAGAGTCCAAGCAGCTGACACCATTTAATAGATTAATAAACATTCATTTGTTGTATAACAAATTCGAGCAGATTTAAAACATGGTTGGTTGCTGCTGCTGACACGCGATGATGATGGGGGGAATACACGACCTATTACTGGGTAACTAAGAACCTTAGTTAGTATATATCTTTTCCAGATCAAATCTAGAACTTCTTGGTTTTCAAATTTATTAGACTGATTTTTAAGCTTTTAAACTAAATGGCAATTCTATGCTAAAATCAACTTCAAGTTCAGATTACTTTTGAGGAACCAAAACCAAAGACTTAATTCGCATTTAACAGCTAAAAAACTAGCCTTATCAGGGGCCTTAATCGTCGAATGATTGATTTGAACTTGCGGCTGACTCTTCATAGCCACATCTGGCAGAAAGAATAAATAAAATACAAAAAAAAAAACAATAAACAATAATAAATGACGTCTCGGCGGGATTTCATAATCTGCAATAAATTCAAAAGCTAAAAAAAAACAAAAAACTTGTCTTATTAACTCAAAAAATACTTGCAAATGGGAAAATGAAAAGTTAAATTTAAGGGAAAATTACCTTAGAAAGTCAAGCTTTCTCAACCCTCTCCTTAGCCAATTTCCCTCTTGCCATGAATTTAACCCATTGCAGTTCGTATCTTTGCTAATTTATTGAAATTCATTTACTGCCTAAACGTAAAAATAAATGAACTCAATTTGCAGAAAGAGCCAGAGCCAGAGCCAGGCAGGCGGCCAATAACAAGAGCAAGGCAAAATCAAAACCCCAAAATAGCCAAAGAAAATACAACAAAAAGCAGCAACAAAACAAAAAGCAAGAACAAAAATGTTAACTATATACTAGTAGAGTGTGTTAACTATATATCGATCTGCAGTTGGCCGAGGGCGGACCTTTCTCAACCGAAAAGAAAGTAAGCTGTTTCTGATTTTTATACCCAGCCAGCCAGTCAGTCAGTCAGTCCCATGGCTCCATGCAAATTAGTTTGTCGACTGAACACGAATGAAAGTTGCTCGCCGCTGGCTTTGGGGATCGGTAGATTATTATGTAAACATCAAGTTTTATGTTTTTTTTTGTTTGTTTCTTTGCAAAAATCACAATAAAACCAAAAAGAAGAAGAAAAAACGCAACGAAATCAAATCGAAAAAGTGACAAAAACTTGATTGCGATTGCTTCCTAGTCGAGAGCGGGACGATATCTTTCAAGTTCCCATCGAACCTTGTACCCTCTAGCACCCTTTTCTATCCAGAAACTCTCTCTCTTTCTTGCTCTCCCTCTCTCTTTCTCTGATTAATTGCAATTGAAGTTCTTATCGCTCGATTCCGAGGGGTAGGTCAGGAAGTACTATTCTGGTGTTTCCCGTAGGTTCCTGTTCCCGTTCCCGTTCCCGCTACTATCCCATAGTTTAAGCTATAAATAAACTTCACTACGAGAGCTTTGACTTTTTTTTGGTTGCACGTCACGACATTGGGGAGGAGTGTATGGAGTGTGGGAAAGACCAGCAGCTGTTCCTTCATCAAACACTTTAATGCAAATATAAATAAGCAGCATTATGCGAGCAGCATTTTTGGGAAATGCCAAAGCTGCTCTATTTCACAGCAGAAAGTGGATTAGGTTAGGTTCTAAAAATCCAAATTCCCAGCTAATGGAGGAGTTCAAGTTTTGATTGGTTTCTATCAAATGGGAAAATCTTTGCGGTTACTTGGCAGCAAAATTATGGTTCTGAGAAACGTTTCCTTGTCAGGGACGGGACTCAGCTGCATGATGATAAATCCGTTTAAATGCCATTTATTGCCGGCATGCAATTTGATTAATGACAACGGCTCATAAACCGTAAAGATAGCGTAATTGATTTGGTAACACTTACAGCCAACAATAATGCCTTTCAGCTGATTAATCAGTCATCTAATTAAAAAAAAAATAAACACTAACTAACTAGCTTCAAAGTGTTACTAAACTTAAACCGCTTTTCCCGGAGAGTTCAAGTTATTTGTTTTTTTTTCTTTTTTCTTTTTTTTTTTGGTAGCGCTGACTAAGCCAGGCGAGCAGCTAGTAAATGACTCAGGTGAAAAGTCAAACACCTGGCGTTCGGGACTTACTTTTGCACTTGACCAGGCCACTGGCCACCTGCAGGAATCCATAGACAGCGATAACAACGCACGGCAGTGCCGCAACGCCAAAGGACACGTAATCCATGTGCTCGAAGTAGTTTCTTATTTGCTCCATTTTAATAATTTCAATTTTTATCTATTCTGTAAGTTTTCGAATTTGTTTTGTGATTTGTTGATTTGTTGATTTGTTTATTTGTTTATTTGTTGATTTTCCGACACTATCGTTAAACACTCTAACAAAAAAGTAAACAAAATAGCCGTGTTCGATGATATATATATTTCTGACAGCTTTCTCTGCGCCTGCGCGACTTCAGGGATTTTATATTTTCGAGTTTTTATATATTTGAAAAGGCACTTTTTATTTTTCTTGTTTTTAGTTTTTGTTTTTTGTTTGTTTTTATTTAATAACTTTTAGTTTTGTATTTTTCGCATAAGTCGTTGAGGCGGCTCCTTTTGGGGCACTAACTGAATGTCCTGCGTTGTCTGCTCCTTGGCCTTTGTTGGCTTTTTTCGCTCTTGTTGTTGCGGTTGCTGCTGCTGCTGCTGATGTCTTTGTGTTAGTAATTGTTGTTGTTGTTGTTGTTGTTGCACAAATAACGCCATTGTTTTGCACTGCAAATCTGGCGTAATTGATTTGCATCGGTGGCCAGGAACGCAAGAACGCCTCGAACTCTTGAACTCTCCTCCTTCTCCTTCTCTCTCGTTAACTGTCGAAACTTTCGAAAGGGAAAAGCCAAAAGGGCTAAGATTGTGTGAAATAAAATCCAAAATAAAAAGTCTAAATCAGCGTAGAGGAAACACTCGCGGAAAATGCGCGTCGTGGGAAAAATATATTTTGTTTGATTTATTTTTCAGTTTGTTGTTTTTGTTTTTGTTTTTTGGTGTTTGTCGGCAGAGCGCGCAGTAAGTCCGCTGCGTGACCGCGCGCTGAGAAATACCGAATGGAACTGATGTTGTTTTGCTGCTGCCATGAGTGAATTTCTGGTTTCTGCTTCACACTCACTTCGGCGAGAGAGAAAGAGCGTGAGAGCGCGAGAGTAGGAGAGGGCCGAACACCTACACTGGCAGGGCAAGAGAGAGCAGAGAGCGCCTCTCCTTCTTTGCACTGACAACAAATCGAAGAGAATTTTAACTTTTCTGCTTAAGCTCTTTTCTTTTTATCTTAAAAAAAAAAACTTATTTTAATGTATTGCTAGAAATATTACTCATACGCAATGTTGGCTTTTGCTTTTTTTCATTTTCTTTCAGATGTTTAATTTTTGCCACTCTTTTTGTGACCACTTTAAGTTGCCTTTAATTTTCCACAGTGTAGAATGTAGAGCAATCTCTCTTTTGGACTCTCTCTCTAATAAAGCACGCGGTTGCGATCGCACAGTGGGGTTAATAGTTGGGCCAGTTAATAGCTTTACGCGAGTACAATTTTATCAGCATTCTTGGACTTCTACTTAGATAATTTAGTAATAAAATATTACTTATAATAATACCGCTATTTTTGTTATATTTTCTTAGAATTTTTAACATTTGTTTGGAAGTTTAAACTTTTCCCAAGTAATATTTTTTGTAATCTTTTCCTTTTTTTTGGTGTTTTTACTTTGAACATCAAATTCTAATGTAAAATTAAATAAATTACTCATGTTGTTCCTTGAAACAAACGATGATGAAACAAGTTCGATTGAAAGCTAAGCCACACTTTGCCGTTTGACTGATCAAAAAATTATAAAGAATTACTTTGCTAGCTGCAAGAATGCCCCAAAAAAACACGTACGTCTAGTATTGGTGCTCCCCCAAACTGCACGTACTTGTAGTTGTTGTCTGCCACCCACCCGCCACCTACCTCTTACACACTCCCCCCCCTCCCCTCAAACTTTAGCCCTAACTATGAACTTTTCACAAACTACGTCAGTGGCTTTTTATTGACGTTATTAGAAAGAAAAAAAAAAGAAAAAAAGAACTCAAACCCCCTGAATATTGACTGATCCTAGGCCTAGGCCCACTTTTCCACCCAACTCTTAGGCTAATAACTCTTAACTTTTGGGCCACGTCAGCTAGAAAAGTTTGACATTGTCATCGCTGAAATCGCTTGAATTATTGATAGATAAATGTTCGTGGTGATTGACGGAGGTCGTACGACATCAGATCTCATTAATTCTAATGGGAATTAAGTTAGAAAACTTAACTAGCCCTACAAGGGGGGGAACTTCCTAGGAATTTGCATAGAACTAAAAACTAAATCACCCACAAAAGTTACTTATTTCTCAGAGATATATGCAAAATCCATTTCAGCAATAATGCTTATCGCGAAAGGGGAAAATCAAACTCTTTGTTTGGAAAAACGCAACCCAACACAACACGTCCTTGGGCAATTAGTATGTATGTCTGTGTAATCCCAATCAGGGGGTGTTTGTTTCATCATTTCAGGAAAACAATTCAAAGAAAGGAGCCTTGGGAAACACTGTCTGGGTCTCCCTGCTCTTGCCGCCACCCCCAACTTTATGTTAGGTTCAACGAATTACTTGTTGTCCGACAACTCCGGCCAATGTTAATGACTCGGCTATGCCTTTGCACAACCCCCCCCTACTATATGGTGTATATATCCTATACTATATAGACGCCATCTATATAGCATACAACATTGAACTTGGGGCTGTTGTATCTGCGCCTTGCCTTGCCTTGCCTTGATTCCATTTGACAACCCATCTGGCCGGGTGAGTTTTTGGCTTTCTGTTTTCTGTTTTCTGTCTTGTTTTTGTTTTTATTTTGGGAGATGGGTTTGTGTTTTGGCCATTGAACCTGGTTCCCCTGGCTCACTAGAGACACCCACCCGATTGGCTGCCCCTCACACCCACCCACCCAACAGGGGTTTAATGTGCTGACGACCTTTCTGTGGCAGAGAGAAAAAATTGGGATTTTAAGAATTTGCCAGTCCATGAGTCATTTTTCCAAACTAATAACTTAAAAGTGCTGACTTAGTCAGTTCTAAGAAACCAAAATAAAACAAGAAAAGACAAATATGAACTTAGAAGATGATTTCTCTATGTGTAGAAAGCAATTTAATTTATGCGCCAGCCCCGAAATTTATACGAAATTGCATTTCGTGCTAATTGTTTTCGAAACGCAACAAGTTCTACATAAATATTATTATGGATATAAATAAAGAGGAATATTATGGCATGCATTTCTAAATTCCTGACTCTTGACAAATGCGCAATTTCGAAACGAATCCCAAAGTGGTTTTTGGCCTTTTTTTGCCACACTTCTTTTTGTGAGTTATATGTTATGTTATGTTATGGCCAAGTTGTCGCTAACCTTGTTTCTCTGCTCGTTTGGCAATAATATCTTTAGGGATGTCGCATATAGAGTCAGTCATATATAGATAGATATTGCCCAGACCGACCGACAGTTAATGGTTTGTCGTTTGGTTTTTACTCACCTAAGCAAGAAGTTTATGAAAAAAAAAATAAACAAAGCGTTTAAGTTTTAAGAGGCCTCAGTTGCAACATTGACAATGTTGTTAAAAACGAAAATGAATGTTTAGTTTTTAGAGCTGACTTAGTTTAAAGTTAAGTTAGTTAACTATAAATCATGCGATATCAGGCGAAAGTTCAATTACTTTTTCCGTTTCCCTAGCCGCCAAAAAGGAAACTTTGAACTTTCGACAAAACCAAAAAGAAAAAGCGAAAAATAAACCCGCATAAAGCTCTTATCGGTGTAACGAACCGATATTGTTGCTTTAGCTATTGTTCATATTGGTAAAATGGTTGCTGTTGTTGTTGTTGTGGTTGTTGTTGTTGCTTATATTGTTGCATACTTATAGCAAAGCGTGTGCGCCTTAATCGGTCACCGAAAAACGCCGACAGAGAGATAGAGAGAGAGAGAGAGAAAGTGATAAGTATATATAGCGAAAGTGAGAGCAACTTCTGTTGCAAACAAACAACAAAAACAAATTCAAGGACGTCGGGCTGGGCGGGGTAGCCGCTGCAGGTGCTTGAACTTCTCGCTAGCTGCAGATAAAACAAAACCAACAACAACCATTGTCGCGCGTGTCTCTGTAGAATCAGGTGCCTGTGGGTGACTGAACCTCTGCTTTCTTCACGCGAAACACACCCCCACCGCACCACTCCACCAACCTCAACCACCCTGCGACCTTGTCACTGGCTGCAGCGCAAATTGTTGGGGTAGGCACTGAGTCACCACTGGACTAGCTTTTCAATAGTTAGGGCTAATGAACTAGCAAGAAAATGGCTTTTTCCTAGGTGACTTTCATGATTATTTGCCTGGAAATCCACCAACTCTTCCCCCTTCAATTATTATCAATAAATTGCAAATTACAGCCAATCTGACAAACGCGGCTCATGGTCTCTGGCCATAAAAATAATAATTAAGAACAAAAGCGAATTGTTTTCATTTCGCGCGAGCACTTCCTGTCTTTCCATCCCTCTCTGTCTCTGTTCATGCGACGTCTCCGCAGCGTCTTTGTTCATCTGCCACAGGAAGTAATCCCAGCCAATATAAATATATATATATATATACATGCACTATATATATCCCATACTTTTGAGTAGATTTTGTTTGTAAACACGTTTGTGCGATTTAGTAGTGGCTGGGCCAAAAAGGGAGGAGACGGGGTATTGGCTTACCCGCTCATCTTGAAAGCCACCTGCCAGTCTGCCAGATCCCAAAACAAACTCCACAAAAAAAAAAAGAGAAACCAAAAACAACATACAAGATAAAGTGCAACCTGCAGCGGCTTATTAATGCGGAAATCGAAAAACTCTGACAGTTTTCGTACGGAAGTTGAGTTTATTGAATTTTTTATTTAATTGCCTTTTCGATTGTTAATCTTTTGGCAGATGGATAAAGCTGATATTTATGGTAGTTTGTTTAGTTATTTACTTAAAAGGTTTTGCAGATTGATTGGCTAACTGGGCGTATACTTAATGTAGGAAATATAAAGGAAAATATTTTTAAGGAAGTAAATATTGATTGGCATTCAATATGTTATTTGATTTTGTTGTATGTTATCCTCTCGTATATGAATTTATGTTTAACAATGAGAAAGTTAGTTTACCAGCTGTCATACATGGCGTATGAGTAATATTACCGTTTATACTAAACTTAACTCGAAAACTTCTTTTGGTTTAAGCATTTAAAGCTCCTGAAATCATATATGAATTGGTGTTTTTCTGTGAGAAAGTTAGTTTTTCAGCTGTAATACATGGCGTATGAGTAATATTAAATATTACTAAACTAAAGATGAAAATTTCTTTTGTTTTAAGCATTTAAAACTTCTAAAATCATATATGAATTTGTGTTTTTCTATGACAAAAAGTTACTTTATCATCCGTCGTACATGGCGTATGAGTAATATTACAGTTCATACTAAACTAAACTCCAAAATTTCTTTTGTTTTAAGCATTGTAAGTCCCTTAAAGCCTTAGCTAAGTTAAAGTGGACTTTATAAACTATAGAAATACATAAAACTTGTATATAAACATAAACAAAATTCCAAAATTAAGAAAGATTTCTCCTTTTTTTTAGTGAAATTTATAAGCAAAATTCTTAGTTTCTTGTTAGTGAAGTCAAAAGGGAACTTGCATTTACTTAAGGACAATGACTGAACTGAGTTAAACACTTGATTAGCATTGCATTGAAGTACATTTCATCGCTGAACACATGGGCGAAATGTTTGATTACCCGCACGAGTGGTGTTTGTGCATCAAAATGCGATTTGCAATTTGCGATTTACATTTCCGAGTTGTGAAGGCCAAAGACGAGGAGAGAGAGCTTTCGCCGATATCAACGAAGCTTTTGCAAATTCGCAAATTCTACTGCGTCTTAGGTGCATTGAACCTATTGTTTATTTAATTTACTCTGCGAGCTTTCGATATGGGGCGCTAAGTAGAAACTGCTGATGTTTTTTGGCAAATGCCAATGCCATTGCCAAAAAAAAAAAAAAGGAAAAAACCGCCATTTCTCCTGCCCCTTAGCCACCACCATCACCATTTCGGGCATTAAATTCAACCTCGAAAACAAACTTTTCTTTCGGCGGCGAAGTTCATTGCCGTACTTTGACCTCGCGAGTGCGTTGCCTCTCTCCCTCTCGCTCCTTTGTGAGTGTTGTTGATTTTTTATTATTGTTGTTATTTGCCGGCGCATTTATTGCATGCGATCATCATAATGACGTTGACAACGACAACGACAACAACGATGATGATGATGTTTATTTTTTCTCTGCTGCGAGATTGATTCAACGAACAGCCTATCCCCATCCTTGACCGGTCAAGTCTGGCCCTTTTTCGTACAGTGGAAACATTATTTGAAGGAGTTACTTCCCCGCAAAGTACAGACATACCTCAAGCCTTAGTGCTAGAAAACCGCAACGGAAATCCCAACTAATTAGCATGCCTGCGATAAGAACACATTCTATTCAAATAACTGGGGCCAAATGGTAAACAAAAGTCGTCAATTCATGACCAGGCATGAGGTCTACCATAAATTTTAAACAAAACAAACTATTTTTTTATAGATTTTATTTTGGAATAACCAAACAAAACAAATTTTCTGGCATAAATTAGGAATATTTGTTAGGAAAAGTGTAGAAACAGACATTTGCCCCACTGTGCCTATGGCTGAGCAATCAGCTGATTGCCGCCAGTGTGCACAGCTGTTTTTTAAGCGTACACCCGAAACGTGTGGCGTGCGATTAAACCGCATCATAACAAAAACCGAACGCTAAATAAACAGGCAAAACAGCGCAAAGCAAAGATGGAAAGAATCACAAACTCACATGTTGCTGCTGTTGCTGTTGTTGCTGTTGCTGCTGCTGCTGCACTGCACATCTCATTGTTAGTGGTGAAAATTGTCGTTGAATTTCCTGCCGTCGATCTGAATTTCATCCAAAAGGGTCGCGAATTCGAATTGTAATACATTTTGGCCTGCTGCCTGTTGCTGCTGCTGCTGTTGCTGCTGCTCCTGTGATGTTTTCGTTGCTGTTGTTGTTGTGATTCTTGGTCGGTCTTTCGCTTAATAGCTGCACCAAAGGGAGCTAGCATGTTTTCCTTGACAGCGTTTTCCGCCAGCAGCATATTGCTACTGTGGCAGTGTTGCACTTTGATTGCTGCTGCTGCTGCTACTACTGCTGACTAGTATCAATTGATGTTGCCCTAGTAGTTAGTTTCCACTTGAAATTGCTGCTAATTTTGCTGCAAGTTTACTTGATGTTGCAACTTGTATTGTCTTTGGCTCTCTTATCACTCCCAGTAGCGTTTCAGTTGCTGCAACTTCTAGTTCTATTTGCATCACTATATCTTCGGGTTGCATCAGCAATACTCGCATACTTCGAAGTTATTTTAACCCGCTAAAGTCCTGTGTTCAGTGGCTGTTTTGCACTCAAGAACACGCGGAAAACACAAAGAGTCGTTTGTATATTTTCCGTTTGACGTCACTTCACTGATGAAAAGACAAAAAAAAAAAGAAAACACACTGATCTACGCAGCACTCGAAAGTAAGTCCCAGGGCCAAGAAAATTGCACTAGAAAATGCGTTGCCAAATTGGGAAATCGCAAAAACTGCAGTCATCTGCTCACTGAACTAACTCTCTGGCTAAGCAAAACACTTCTACTATTAGTTATGATTATTAACGTTAATATAACGGTTAAATTAGCGCACTGGCCAACTGGTTGGACCACCAACAACAACAAATTGCCCGCGTATGATTGAAGCTCAAAAATGGACTGCCAGCAATTGTTGCTGCCGCTTTTGGCTCTGTCGACGCCGCCGCAGCAGCAGCAGAAGCAAAGGCAGCAGCCAAGAGCGCTCTCTCTTTCTCTCTCTTGATTTGCGAGCGGAATGAACCCGCAACCATCGCAGCTTTATGCAAGTCCCATGTAGTCTTCTATATAGTCTTTGTGCATAATTCCAAGAATATCGAAATGCGCAGGAGAGAGCCGTGAGAGCTGAAACTGGGCCATTGGCACGACTATCAGATACCTGGTTGGCCAGGCAAATGTCTTTAAAGGCACGAAAGATACTTTAGCTGAGAAGAATCGAAGTTATATTACTTTGATTTATCATGAAAAGTTCAAGAAAACATTGAAATATTTTCTATACAAAGCAATAGAGCAACTACAAAGGTTGCTTTTACTCAAAAACGAACGTAGATACAAAACAACCTACAAGATACAAGGTATTTCTCATATCATATCAGTTGCCTTTGCTGCCTCAGTCGGCGTCTCATTTGCAGAACAAAGAAAATACCTCCCTCCCTTGCCCTCGCTGACGCATGCCGCGTGTAGCTGGGATACGGTTCGCATATTGCGCCTAACCCAATTCGAGTGTCATCATCTGGTCATGGAGCCCATGCTGTCTTTGTCAGCCCCCTACTGTCCCTTTCGACGAACACGGCTGGCTACATCAAGCGGTAAAGCTTTCTCTCAGCTGTTTACTGCACAGTGGTTTCGTTTTACAAGAAACAAAGAGTTATTTCTAATTCTTACAAATATTAACAACAACTCATCATCATAGACTTACCCAAATTTATTCTAATCCCGGGGAAATCCTGGAAAACCCAAGCCAAATATGTTTATTTACACAATTTTTCCTTCACAAGTAATAAAAAATGATTGTTTTTTCAATGTTATATCATAGATTAATTTGCATTAATAACACTTTTCAAGAAGAACTTTCACCATGCCACGTTACTTAAAGGACCTCACTTGACTAGTTCAAGAAGTCAACTGATCCTCGCTACCCGCATATTGACACATTTATAGGGGCTAAAGGTCTGGCAGGACCTTCAAAAAGAGATTAAAAACACATTGTGACCGATAACGGATCGGACGTTAGTACTTATCAGGTAGTTAGGAACGACCCGTCGTCGACCTGCCTTTTAGGACAGAAGGTACACAACAATCTGGGCAACCGAGCAGGCGGTTTTCCACGACAAGCTGACGCGTGTCTGAAGGCTTTCTTCAGGGTTTCATGATTTCCATATTACCAGGGGTTTTACCTGGTTTTATTGGCTTCTCCTGCAGCCTTAACAATCCCACTGTGCAGGTAAGTTACCGTAAAACCCCAGCTTTAAATTCTGTAAAGGTAGTAACCCTTAGTTTGTAGGTACAAACAAATTCAGTCTAAGGAGAACCACACAGAGCTTACCACTAGCTAGCTGCTGTCGTTAGCGGGCGCAGAACTTGGCTAGGAAGCTTTGGGCTTTGCCTTTTCTGTGATTGCAAACTCGACTGTCTAGGCGATCTGCCTTTAGCTTAGTTTTTCCAGTTGAACTGAAAATTCTAGGTCAGTATATGGGTCGGATGAGTGATATTGTTTAACAGAATAATAGAATTTGGATATTTGGGCATCCACAACCATAACTGCCAAAATGCCAGACCCCTGACTCACATTCGATTCAAAATTAGAACACACGCAAAAAATGTCAATAAAAACAAAAATCATAATAAAACCCAAACGGAGTCAGCGAGAGGCAAACAAAGTATCTGAGCACGCGAAACGGTGTCAGTGTGTCATGTTTGAGCTTTTTTTCTTTCTCTCAAGAAGGCAACACAAAGAGTTCGGGAAGTACGTTCGTTCGAGTAAGACAAATGTTTTTGTACTTTTTTTATGCAGGTCTTTTCGAGGCCATAAATCCTCGGAGAACAGTCATTCACTGAGAGTTTCGGTGGTAATTCGCATGGAATCGGTACTTTACTTTGGAAATACAGAATTTAACTTTTTACCATTCCTTAGGAAAGACAGATCGGCTAATTAAGTGGCTGGTTAAGTGAAAAAAAAGAAGGAAAAACATTGGAAAACGTAAATCAGGCAGCGGACCAACGGCAAGCAAGCAACAAATTTATAAACTTAACTCGGAAACAAACAAAATTGTTTAATTAAAGTTTTTATAATAACTAATTTGTACCCCTAATAAAATCCGTTTAACCTATCAACTATTTAAATTCAAATTTTCAAGGGAAATGGGCAGCACTGAAAATGATATGGCTAGGATTGGGATGGGTTAACCATTAACCCTATCAAATAGGGTTGCCGTCTATCGATAGTTAGCCATAACAGCTAATTAGTTACTAAAACAGCGACAATCCTGCGCAGCCGACTTTGACAGCCTTCAAAGTGAAAATTCTTCCTTAGAAAAAGAAGAACAGGTCATTTCATAAACGAACGTCGTGCGGTGAAAGCTGATAATCTAAAAGCCTTCGGAAAAAAACTTAAAACCTTCTTTAAAAAAGAAAAAAAAACTTTCTCGTTTTTCTTATAAGAAAATATTCAAGCCAAAGTGAAGATGAATTCAAGAAACGAATTTAAGATCCAGACTAGCGTTTGGGTGAGTTTAAAGAATTTTCTTGAGAATTTCCGTGCCTTTGCTGAAGTTTTTTTCACTTTGAAAGATTAACAAGAGCTATTCGGCGGTGCTGAAGGGACCTGCTGTACATCAGGTTCAATGTGCTCCGGGAATCTTTCGTCGTGTGCCGGTGGCGCCGCGTGAGCGGGTCTATCACCTTCGAAGTGACAAGGGAGCTGCTGCAGGGTGCTCCCGGCACAACGACTATCCTATGGATGACCTGGCACATAGGTTCGTCAACTTGTCCATGGTCTCGAAGCCAAACATAAAGGTTCGCGGTTGCAATGAGCCATTCTTTGCCAGCAACTTAAAGTATTATCCCCACTTGCCGCAGCCGGCACGGGTGCGCTATTACCAGACCTACGCCGAGATCAAGGAAATGATGACGTTGGAGAAGATTCCGGAGGAGCCCGCTAACTCTGAGGAGCATGAGATTCTTGATTGTTCCAAGACCGTGGAACTGCCAGATGAGCCAATAAGATCGGCTCCAAATCGCCGTTACTCGATGAGCCGTGGCCGCAAGGGCATTCATACCGATGTGGCTCTGGCTAATATTTTCCAGTCGGCCGGCAACAATCTGCTTCGTCAACCTCCACCCAGTATCCAACGTCAGTTCCAGGTCCGCGATTCTCTATTGTCCCGTCTCGCTAACCGTCATGAGGAGTTGCATGGCGGCGGCTTGAACGGACCGCGTCGCCTTCAGCCCGATTGGTGTCCCACCGAAATCGACGTCAATGTGACCACCACTGAACCCTCCAAACCGGATGTTTTGTTCTTCTTGGATTAGGCTGACAAGGCTAACAAGGAAAGTCTTCCCTGGTAACTTTGTACAACGAAACGTTCCAAGAATTGACTGATATTAAATAATTTTATATGTTTAATTTTTATTTTTGGTTATTTTTATTTTTTTGGATGGATTTTGATATGCAAAAAATGGAAATCTTGATCTTCTTTCGATGGAGTCTTTAAGGACATCAATGACTGTCTAGTTTTTCCAAATATCCGCGGATTTTTCCTTGCATGACTTGCTAAAAGATTTGCCAAGGACCACGCCGGGCTGGTTATAACCTAGGTTTTTGGGATAATACGGTCACATTGCACGAGCAAATACTGCCAATTTTAGCAAGAATCTTAGCTTCTACTTTGACTTTTTATGAGATTTGGTTACATTTTTTGTTCTTTGGCCTTTTTTCCACAGTATTTATAGAGAAAATCATTGGCATTGCATTTTATATATTTTCTGTATAAATTTATATGATTTTTTCCTAAAGTTGTTACCCACGTGTAAGGAATTTGTTTTGCTTAGTTTGAAAATGTCTACAAATTTGGCGCTCTATGGTGTGGCCGTGCTAACAGTGCTAAAAGTCCCAGCAAGCTGTTAGCCAGGGCTGCCTAATAAGCTGCAAGCGAAGTTTCACACTGTGCTCGAGGATTGTGTCCTTGCTAATGTAAGTAACATTGTGATTTAGTTCCGTTTTATGGGGTTGATATAAGTTAAGGATCTTGCTTTTTTATAAAAAAAAGTCTTATATTGATTAATGAAATGTTTAATATAAAACGTTTTACAATGATTTCTTATGTTTGCCTATCGAAGGTGCGACTTAAGGCTTTTAGCAAAGTTTCGTACCTATTAAGTTTAAAAGTTTTTTAAAAATATTAAAAAAGATTTCAAACAAGTTGTCTGGTTACCATTTTTTAAGTTATTAAAAGTTTATTTAGCTGTTTAAGTAAAGTTAATGTGTTTCTGGATATTCCTAATTGAGGATACATGGTCACACTTGTGTTTAAACTTTAAATTTGAACTTTAATTTGAAAATTAATTTCAAATAACTTGCTTTTGGACTTCAAAGCATGAATGGCTAACTTCTAAGTCCTTGAAAGGGGTTATTAATATTAATAATATTTATATTGTATTTAGGTTTTAAACTTTAAGCCCTTGAATAGCCTGTTAAATGTTTTTTTCAGAAAATTACAAAACATTTCAGGCAACTTCTTAGTACATACTTTTTTGGTTTTGTCTATAAAATTGTAATAAGTTAACCACCGATCTAACTGATATTTCTAATTTATAGTAAAAGTTAGCTTAACATTCTGAACTCAATACCATTTAAAAAAATCATTTCCAAAGTATATGAAAATATTTTTGACATTCTTTTACTTAAACAGCAAAGAACGTTAAACTTTTCTTTCAAAAAATGAAAAAGAAGAAAAAACTGGAAAAACATAACAAAACTATCAAGAGATTACTAAGCTATATTATTAAGGGGACTTTTCATAAGTTTTACCATTGAAGTAAAATCTATTTCCTGTCTTCACTCCTTCAGAGAATTCCCCTTTTTGCCTCATAATTGAGTTTAAGAAAGCTAAGCCCATTTGGCCAACGTCCATCGTCTATTGGCCATGTTCTGGCCGGGCATTTACTTGGACGTGATTGCATTGTGTGCCGCGATGATTGACAGCTGTTTGATGGCAGCCGGACTTGTTTGGCGAGTGACATTTGTTTAACGGAATTAACGGGTGGATGCGGACAGCTTATCTGCATGCTGTGGATGTGTGGGATTGAAAGAGGCTTTGAATCTGTGATCGAAATGGATTTAAAAAAAAAACGGAAATTTGAGGCAATGTCCGAATGTCCAAATGTCCGAAAGGCGAAGGCCCTTTGTGGTATGTCCAGTATAACCATCCATCTAGTATAATCATTCAGATTGGCACAGGAAGTGTATGGGTCTAGCTAGTAGAGCTCTTCAAACCGATTCAAAAGCGATTTCAGTAGCTCAAACTTTGGCACTGTACAAGTGCGAGGGCGAGTGCCAGTGCGAGTGCGAGTGCGAGTTCGAGTTTGTCTAGCATCACTCTGGGTTACATCCAATCAAGCTTGATATGCTGTGGCCCAGCACAGATGTGCTCTTCATCCGTGTGCATGTTTGGACAGCAGTGAGTCGGAAACCGAAGGGTTTCCCGGCAATTGAACACAGTTTTTATCCTCATCACAGACGTCATCAGTTCAGCCAACTTGGCAATGGCCAATAGCCGAAGGTATTGACTTTAGGAGGCCAAGATCCGAGACCAAAGTTATTTTCTTTACAAGATTGCCCAGAAAATGTGTGCCCAAGACCATCATTATCAATGAATCTTCGACATGACAGCTATTCGCGAAATTAATTAATTTCGGTTTTTGGCTTTTTTTCAGTCGTGAAACAGGGCAAAACCTGCATCTGGGCCAAAAATCGAATCAAATATTTTATTTTGTGCTAAAGTTCTCAACTATGATTGACTGACAAGGGTTGATTAGCGCCACCGCCGCCACTGACAATCCGATATTACTACAGTATCCGGTCGTATCCTTTTAGATACTGGAACGGGGGGGTTGAATATTTGTTTAGTTTGTGTTTGGGACCTTCATCTGGCTGTCATCAAAGAGTTTGCATTTTGGCTTAGTTAAGTTGCTAATAAAAGAAGAATCTTTTCCTATTTATTTGACTTTCCTTTCGATTCGTTTCATTTTCAAGGTTTAGATGATAGATAGATGCACGCCCGCCCCTTCCCTCCCCTCCCCTGCCTTCCTCTAGCACACAAGGAGACCTAAAGGACCCAACGATCAAATGAACAAATGAGTTGTGCTTAATCAGGTATCGAAAATTAATTTGTTCATGCTCCTGTGGCTGTTGTTACCGTGTTTTATGCATGAGGTCTCGTGCTCACCTACCGGACGACCCACTTGTTAGGGTATATTGACTCATTCGAGTGTCAAATGAGCCACACAGATAGCCGAGAACGAATCTCGCACAGCATCCGTGGTTTGAGTCGAGAACCCACCTTCTGTTTTCGTTCAAATCCTTTGAGATGTGTCAATTATGAAAAACGTTTTCATACCCTCTTATACACCTCCTCCCCCTTTGGCTATCAATTGCCCTTTGCATTAGCACACGTCACCGAACCCAACTATGAAGACCAATGTGCAACCGAATACCTGTGCCTGCAACTTCGCTGCATTACTTGCCAGTTTGCTAGATTGTTGCATATTCTGTTGGGCAAAGAGGAGGTTCAGAGGAGCCTGGTTATATGTGGCAACTTAGAGAGACTGGAATATGATCTTATAGATCTTGTTTTGCCACTTTTTCGTTTTCATTCACTGCTTTTCATTCGGAAAAGCTGAAAAGGCTTTTCTTTACAAAGAGAAACAAGCTTAGTTGCTGATTCTTAAAGATCTTTAAGATCAGATAGTTGCTAGTTGATACATCCTTGAAAGTTCTAAGCTAAGTTAAGCTTTTTCCTCCACACTTTCCCTTGCCAAAGATTATCTAAACCAATTGGCAATTATCGGATTAATGGCTTATAATGCCTATTAAAATACTCTCTCCCATATTGCTCTTACAAGCCCTAAACACCCCCCTGAGGGTCGTGGGAGGAACACAGAGGAGTTCAGTTTCGATCGAGGTTCCCTGGCGCACTTCGAACAATGCAAAGAAAACAGAATGGAAATGAAATGAATCAAATTGAAAAGCCAGCGACAGTTCTTGTGCAAACACACACACACGGACACGATAGATATGGGGGACAGAGACATATACACCTGTACCTGTATGAGTACATCCCATATATGTACATACATACATCTATACATCCATACATCCATACATCCATCCATCCATACATACATACGTACGTATCGTGCGAGTATATGAATAAATGCGGCTCAAACTGGATGCTGGATGACTGACTTGTAGCCTGCCCAATTGAAAAACGCTCATGGCTCATGGCTCATGGCTCATGGGTGATGGCAAGAACGGAATGGGGGGGCTTTAGGTTGAATGTGTGTCCCATCAGCAGCGATTTGAGCGGCGAACAATGGTGTCAATGGTGGCCACCTGTCCAATCCCCACAATCCCCCCCAAGCCAGCCCTTGCCCCTTTGGCAACAGGCATTCCATAGGAATAATACTCTGCCAAGGATTCCATTTGAATCAGCAAAAACTTTTTGGTTAGTCTGTTACTTGGAAGAAGCACTTCTAAACTGGGAGAACCTTAACTAAAAGTTAAGATTTCAAGGATATATCTCAATATATAGATAGAGAGAGTATTCCTGCATCGTTGCTATAGGACAAATCTCGATGTTCGCTTCTCTTTTTTTTGTTCCTTTTGGACGGTTCTTGAAGCGAATTGTGTTGGGTGCATGTGTCGGTGTCTGCATTTTTCAATTTATATAAACAAAACATTTTAATTTCAGAAATTTAATTAAACAACACACCAGATGCGATGATAGCATACGTGTCCCATTCGTTCGTTGCCCATTGTCATTGTCCGTTGGCTGTGCCAGCTTTGGCTCTGCCAGCTTTGGCTCTGCCTTTCAATCAGGCTCAAAACCGCAAAACGATAATGGTGCCAATAATAAATTAGCAGGGTCGGTTAACAGAACCCTTGAGCTATATGATATAGACCGATCTCTACCCATACCTTTCTTCTTTATATGCATGTAAAATGTTGCAAAGAAGACACGTGGACGGTGGCATGTGGCACAACGTTCACCACAAGCGATATTCAATATACACTCATTAGACTACACAAAATCGGTTAATGAAAACCCTCTTTGTTGCAATGACACGGGGTCAACGGGGTCAGGGGTGGTGGTTGGTGGTTTAAAAACCAGCTATGACAGCAACCCGTGGCGCCCGATCTTTCTTCCTTTAGATCCGGTTTAACACCGCGACTGGACCGGACACTATTTTGCATAACAATTTTTTTTTTAGGCAGTTTAACCCTCTTGCCTACCCCTTCCACCCCTTCGAAACTAATTAATCGGAAAATAGCTGACCACCAGCAGCTCCAGGAGGGCAGAAGGAGGAAGAGCTAGAAGTGGCACCGCTTCCGAACCCTTTTGGGATGGATAAGCGACGGGCTGGCATGGTCTAGAGAATTTAAGTGCATATTAGTGCATGGATACAGGGGAACCTTTCGTTTAATTAATTACCAAATGGAAATATAAAGATCAAAGCGATTAAGACCTCCACACGCTTATGTTTATATGTATAGGTGTAGGTATAGGTATAGGTATAGGTATAGGTATATGTATAGGTATATGTGTATATGTATAGGTAAATGTATATGTATATGGTTACTATTTATGTCGTCTTCCACTTAAGTGGGCACACGGACCCAGCAGGATGCTCCTGTGTGATGTCGTTTGGGCCTGCTGGTCCGAAAGGTGTCGTCGGTGTCGTCGCTCAGATTCAGATTCACAGAAGTGAAACAAATCCCTTTACTCATAATTCATTAATTTCTGTATTTAGATTTGAGCGCCACGTTTTTTACCCACAGCTTACCCAAAAACCCTTTCTACCCTAACCTTTCTTCTGGCCAACGACGATACGCCACCCCACCACTTTGGTCCGTTCAACGGACTCAGCAGGGCGCGATGGTTCGCAAGTGAGTTCTTTTGCATATGGGGAAAGGCGGCCATACATAACTGGCTAACCAATTGTGTATCTTTTGGATACATTTTAAACTATGCCTAGGCCTTAGTTACTTCTGTAACTTCCCTGAAAGCCACTTGAAATGGCTATAAAGGCATCATAGAGGTGCAATTTACCAACATATTTTCAACCTGCAACATTTTCCAGCACTAAGCTTAGTCAAAATCAAATCAAACTAAGATACCTTTTAGTTTAATTTATCAAATTAAACTCCACGCAGTTAATTCTTTGCAAAATGCAATATTTTAGCAAAGATATTGGTTGTGAAAGTGCAAATCTGCATAAATGAAATTACAGCCATATATAGGACTGCCATAGGCCGTTGCTGCAACATGATACTGAATGTTGGCAGCATGTCCATTCGAAATCAAATTATGTTGCTCCCTCGCAATGTAAATTGCCTGTAAATTCATTTTTCCGCATCATCACAATGGGGAAAAATGTGTAATTTCAAAATACAAAAAGAAAAAACAACAAAAAACACAAAAAGCGAGAAAGGGAAAAGCAAAGAAAAAAAAAAAAAAAGTATATGCTAACGCAATGATGATGTGCGTTGGGCGAAAGCGTTTCAGCCAAAGGCAAACCGACCACAGGGGATCCGCGGGACACATAGAGGATGGCTGCATGACTGACTAACTGACTAACTGACTGACTGGCTGACTGGCTGGCTACATCGGTGGCAACATTTGATGACTTTATTGCATGTAGCTGGACAGGACGGGGCGGCAACTGACCGGGCCTGCTAACAAAGTGAAAGAGGCTGAAACTTCAACAGGAACAACGTTTGCTTTTAACGTTAATTTATGCAACTTTTGTCAAACGCATCCAGTTTGTCTGTGTCCGTGTCCGTGTCCGTAACGGTGTCAGTGTCCGTGTCGGTGTCCGCTCACTTGTTGGAGCGTCACAGTTACAACAGCCGCCAGGCGATGGCTTTGCCGCCGCTCCTTCGACAGGATCCGAAGTGCGGCCAGTAGTAGTGGCTGGGGGTTAAGCTTTGTTATGTGGTTTTTCCTCAGTTCGGAAAACAACAAGAAGCTGAGAGCAGGGAGCTAGATGGAGCTGGAAACTGCGTTACACAAACCGTTGAAGCAACTGATTGGCTCAGGCGTAGCAGCCGGTTTTCTAGCCATACGTTTTGCCCATTGTTGATGGGGATTGTGCGTAGGTGTTGGTTTCATTTTGTTTGTTGCATGTAACCGGATGCACTTCCGCTCAGTGACAACAACAGAAACATCAGCATCAACATCAACAAGAACAATAAGACCAGTAATGCCAGCAATTCAATAAAGTTTCGCTCTCCACCGAGTCCACTCCTCGTATATTTATAAGTAGTACAGCCATCCAGGCATAGGAACTACTCTTTCCTTCACAGAGAATGCAAACTACAAATAGCATCAAATTCAGTATGACTTTTCTTAACTATTTTGTAGCTTCATTTTGCTTATAACTTGGCCTAAACAGCAACTACGGTCTGGGGAATGACTGTTCTGTACAGCTAACCATTGAAAAAACCTTTATTTTTAGGTTTCTTTTCGAAAGTGACAATAAATTTAGTTTTTCAATTTTGAAGGCAGATCTGTTAAGAATTAGAAAACAAACTGAACGATGTATAATATTCCTTTTTCGGACCAATATTGGCTAAGTTATGGAAAGAATATTATCATTTTTAGGGGAAAATCGGAATAAATCAAATTTAGACTTTTCTGTAAGGGGTAACCTCATCAAAATTGGACAAAAATTACCAAAAAATTACTTTTTTAGACGTGAATGCAGTTTTGTTGGAAATTACGAGCTCAAAGAGGAATTAAATTCAATATCTAGACCATTATTGGCTTAGTTATAGAAAGAAGACTATCAATTTTAAGTGAAAATCGTGATAAACCAAATCCCAATTTTCCTATAAAGGGTAACATCATCAAATTTAGCAAAAAATGTCAAAAATTTGTCATTTTAAAGTGTGAATGCAGTTCGTTTGGAATTTTAATTACAATTCCAATGATATATGACTTTCTATACTCCGATTATTTCTGACTTTGTTATGAGAAAAATTCTGAACATTTTGGGACAAGATTTCGGACTTTGAGTTTTGACAGAAAATTGCTTTATTTTTGATCGGATTTATGCCTATAACTTAGCCAAAAGAAGACGCAGAGATAAAATAAAAACTGTTTTGTAAAGCTAACGACCGAAACTAACTTTCCTCATCTTTCGTTTGATGACTTTAGAGATTTAAATTTTTTGTAAAATTTTTTATTTTCTAAGGGGGGACATCATCTAAATTTACGAAAAATGGAAAAATTTGCACTTTTCAATGTGTGAATACAGTTTTGTTGGAAATTAAATTACGAACTCAACGAGGTATTACATTCCATATTCGGACCATTTTTGGCTGTGCTATAGCAAAAAAAACGTATTTTTTTGTGCCCAAAATCACGTATACGTCCTTTGACAGAAGAGTTTTTTTTTAGTTCCTTAGCTCTTACTTTGTGAAAACAAGCGGCATGGCTAAGGCAGTGCCTGTTTTATGCAGCTAACTACTGAAACTTAACACCCCTATACTTACTTTTTGCGTTTTTGTTCTAATTTTTTAATGCGAGCTTTGTTTTAAGGGCTGAAAAGTCAGGAAACCGAATTTTAACAGAAATTTGCAACTTTTCTTGCGGATTTTAGCTCTAGCTCGGTCAAAACAAGGCGCACAGGCAAAAGAACGACTGTTTTGTGCTGCTAACGACCAATACTAAGTACCCCTATCACTCGATTTTCGATTTTGGGAAAATCAATTTTGGCCCAAATTTCGCATTTTTGATAAGGGGTACCATCATCAAAATTTTCAAAAATGGGCCAAAAATGAAGTTTCCCAGATTTGAATGCCAATCAATTGGGAATCATGGCAATCAAGTTACGAGCCCTACGAGGTATTACATTCCTCATTTGGACCATTATTGGCTGTGCTATGGCCAAAGAACTGATTTGTTGTGCTCAAAATCACGTATACGTCAGTTGACAGCATGGAGCCCGGCTTTTTGGCAGTATTTTAGCTCTAACTTTGTCAAAACAAGCCGCATGGCTAAAGCAGTGACTGTTTTATGCAGCTAACTTTCGAAACTTTACAGCCCTATGCTTACATTTTGCGTTTTTGTTCTGATTTTTTGATGCGAGCTCTGTTTTAATGGCTACAAAATCAGAAAATCCATTTTTAACAGAAATGGAACTAGAACTATGTTCAGGTTTTTAGCTCTAGCTTCGTCAAAACAAGACTCACAACTTATAGAACGACTGTTTTGTGAAACTAGCGACCGAAAGAAACTTTCCCTATCGTTCGTTTTATAATTTTGGAAGTTTTTGTCAAATATAGCATAGTTTATGTGGCAGAGATTTTTTAACTGAAGGTTCTGAAACTCATAAAGGTTCGTCCTAAATGGTATATAATTCTGCCAATTAGCATTTCAAATTGATTCGGCCTAACGAAAAGAAAAAAGTTCTTGATGTTTGCTAGATTCAAAGACAATAATTGCTGAGCTCGCAGTAGGCCGTGTACTTTGACGCATTTCATAAAGGAAACTTTTTACCAGCCAAGCCATTTCAACATAGAACTTTGAAAGTGAACATGGCAGGTAAGGAATATATCTTAAAAAAAAAGAACATAGCTTGTTTTTTCGCCTTTTGTTCTTTAGATCAAGGTAAAGTGCTTAAAGCCAATATGCAATCAGGAGAGCATTCCCAGGAAGCTAAGAGCTGTCCCGAGAAGGTCTTTGATGGACCACAGCAGATGAGCAGCGGACGAATCAGCACTACGAAGATGCCGATCTCAGCCCATGTCATAAAGAAACGTGGAGGCACAGAGTCCCCCGATCCGTTGAAGCCATTAAAGCAGCCGCAATCGCCTTCGCAGCTGCAGTCTAAGCCAAAGCCGTTGCAGCAACCGATTACCAACTGGCGTGACCGTGCCAGTCTTCCAGCTACCAACTCACAGCCGGAGAATTGGCGTCTGCAATGCCGCAAATCGAATTAAGAACTATGAATATCCAGGAAAGGAGGATTTCTAGCTTAACTTTTAAGTTCTTAAGTTCTTAATAAAAAGAGAAAGTTAAGATTGGTTTAATAGCATACAAGCTTGCAGTTGTATTACAGATTTAGAGATTAGAGATTAGAGATTAGCGATTATAGATTAAAGATTGTTGTTCGATAAGTAAGGAGATCATCAAAAGTTAAGATAAATGGCAACAATTTGACAATTTGAAGTGGCAATGCAGTTTGACTGGAATTTTAATAACGAGTTCCATGATATATGACTTTCTATATTCCTACTATTATTGGCTTTGTTATGACAAGAATTCTGATTATTTTGGGATAAGCATCAGGATTATGAGTTTTGACAGAAATGTCAACCTTTTTTTCGGTTTTATGCCTATAACATAGTCAAAATAAGAGGCACAGCTAAACTAAAGACTGTTTTGAGCAGCTAAAGACCGACACAAACTTTCCTCATCATTCGTTTGATGATTTTGGGGATTTTAATTTTTTGCAAAATTTTCAATTTTTTGTAAGGGGTAACATCATCAAAATTTCCGAAAAATGGGAACATTTTTACGTTTCAAGGTGGGTAAGCAGTTTTGTTGGAAATCAAATTACGAACTCATCGAGATATGACATTCCATATTCAGACCGATATTGGCTTTGTTATAGACATAATCCTGACACTGCTAAGGGAAAATCGAGACTACTAAAACTCCGCATTTTCTGTAAGGGGTAACCTCATCAAAATTTACGAAAAGTGGTGAAAATTGTACTTTTCAAGGTGGGGACAGAGATCTACTGGAATTTGAAAAACAAACTCAACGAGGTATTACATTTCACATTCTGACCATTATTGGCTTATTTATGAGCAAAATACTTCTTGTTTGAGGGGAAAATATGTATAAAATCAAAGTTGCGATTTTGACAAGGGGTAACCTCATCAACATTTCCGAAAAGTAGGAAAATTTTTACTTTTCAAGGTGGGGATGAAGTTTTATTGCGAATTGAAAAACGAACTCAACGAGAAATGACATTCCACATTTGGACCATTTTTGGCGTAGTTATCAGCAGGATACTGTAATATTGTAAGGTGAAAATAAGCAGAAATCCAATTTCCCAGTCCTGATAAGGCGTAACATCATCAAAATTTCCGAAAAGCGTTCAAAATTTGACATTTTAAAGTGTGAATGAAGTTTAATTGGAATTTTAATAACGAGTTAAAGGAGATTTAACACTCCATAATCCGATCATGTTTGGCTTAGTTGCAGGAAGAGTCGTTTCATTTTGGGAAATAGAAGGCTTAACTGATTTTCGAAGTTTTCAAAATATTACCAAAATTTCATAAAAAATGCCAAAAAATTGCAATTTTCAACATTGAATGCAGTTCGATGGGAATTTGAATTACGATTCCATCGATGTAAGACATTCCATATTTGGTTTGGTATTTCATAAAATGGTGGGACAAATACTGGATAGTTTTTGACCAGAAATCAGGATTAAGACTTTTGACGGAACATTTTTCTTGGTTCGACGACAAGCTTGGCATTAGAATCTGAACTCCTTGCTGGGGCAAGGCAAATATGGGCAAACAGAGGATGGCGTTCATTTGCACGGCCGCACATCATGAAAGTACGGTAACAGTATTCTCATCGCCCGCGCCAAGTGCCGTCATGAGTGAAATGGACGAGGACCAAGACCAGGACCAGGACCAGCACCAGGACAGTGGCGCAACGCTGGGGCGTTCCTCATGCATAACGCTTTGACCTCCTCTTGCTGCACACCCCTGCACATCAGCGAAGGATCCTGATAGGTGCGACGAGGTGAGGACTGCTCGGCTCCACTGCATCCACATTCGTGCTCCAAGTTTCCGTAAGGGGAACAGATGGCAGGAAGGAAACACAACCGACGGAAGGCTGGCGGCGACGAGCTCTCCGCCGTTGGGGAACCTAGTCGAAGGTAACCTCGGAGAATGCTCTGCGCATGACCGTAACGATTCCCGTATAGATGCCCCGTAGGTTCCGATTGCCGAGTACCTGTTGCTAGAGAGTGAGCAACAGTTGAGAGCTTAGGAACGCTTGCAAGTGTGCGTAGATGTGGCAGTGTATTGGTGAGCCCCATGCACTGGTAGTGGTGTGCCGGATAGCAACAGGGGCTGCAGCAACAGGCTGCAACAGGCATCTCTGCCTGCCTGCGTGCCTGCCTCTGGCTGCCAACGGTCTTGGACGCAATAATCAGTTTGTCACAGTGCTATGCTCCGCTGGTTAAAATTGTGTAAACTCTTCTTCCAGACTTCAGACTCCCGGACTCCGGACTCCTGACACCGTACTCCGGACTCTGGACTACGAAGAGAGCACCCGGAGGCGACAATCTTTCGAGTATATCTGTATGCAGGCCCAAGCCAAGTTCCCCCGGGCTTATGGTGTCGGCCACGCCGAAGGTGTCTGGTATGAGTTGGCCGACAAATCTAGGCCCTCGACCCTGTAAAGTAAATACGGATTATCCTCTTTTCCAGCAGCAGCAGCAGGAGCAGCAAAGGCAGTAAGCAGTAAGCAGTAAGCAGGGAGCAGGCAGCAGGGAGCAAGCAGCAGGGATCTGGTTGCAGGTGCAGCTTAGCCCACCGCTTAGGGGAAGCCTTGAAGAGGCAGCATCCTTCGATACGATATTGCGTATGTGCTCTTCAAGATGCATCCGTTCGTTCATTTGCATTAGTGCCTTCGCATCGAGCCATCAGCAGCATTAGGAAGGAAGAGCATTCCCCTGATTCTTCTGCTTTCCTGCTTCGAGGAATCCTGCCTGTTGCGGAAGCGTAGGTGTCTTCTATGTGTGTGTGAGTGTGTGTATTTGTGCTTGTGTTTGTATGTATGTATGCAGCAGAACGCCGAAGTCAGGGTCGCTGTGTGGGTGCGGCCTGCAGTGGCCATAGCTGTAGCTGTAGCTGTGGCTGTGGCAGTGTCAGAGAATGAGAATGAGAATGCGCATGTATTGGTGGTGCTCCTGCCTGTTGCATACAACTCCTGCGTTTGATAACGCGCAGCAACAGGCTGACACTGACCACACCACCTGCATTGTGTGGTACGTGTGCGCCACCGCAGACTGCAAACTGCGACTGCAGCCATGGAATGGCTGATGGCTGATGGTGGCAGCATCACTTCTCACCATAAAGAAAGAAACACTTTAAGCCATGGCCATGCCATCCGAGCCAGCTCTGATTTATGCCTAGAAGCGGTCCAAAGTATACCTTTCGTTAATTGCTCAACTGCTGGAATAATAATACACATTTCTCTGTCTTACTCTGTCTATGGTTTCTGGGATTCACTGCGATTCTCGTTTTTATATATCTTTCTTCTCTCTGGGTTTTGGTTCGCCTTTCCTTGGGTGTGTCGTTTCGTGTTTACTGTTGCTGTTGCTGCTGCTGCTGCTGTCTTCGTATTTTTCCGCAACTTTTCATTCAAGCTTTTGTTTTTATTCACACACTTGGCTGCAAGCACAAACACCAGCACATATGCCACCCAACGCCCACTGATGCTGTTAGCTGCTGCCTGTTGCGCGATTTGCAAACCCATCGAATGGCCAGGAGCAGACCAAAGCCAGGCGGTAGGCGGTAGGCGGCAGGCGGCAGGCGTTCGTCCACCAATATATAGCATACGAAATTGGCAACGAGAATCGCGCGACTCGGGCGACGAGTCTGCGTGTCTACGTGTCTACGTTGCAACGTGCAAAGGTTCAGTCGTGCAACTGCCGCGTCCCAAGGCAGTTTAGTGTGCTTCCATCATGGACCACCATCATAAATGGTGCATGGGCTCGTAGTACCACACATACCATATAGACCACGTACAACAAGTTATAGGCCCCATCAAGGGGTTACACAACTTGAACTGCCTGCCAGCCAGCCAGCCAGCCAGCCAGCCAGCATGGCAATTCATGGCCACATATTGGAAATTCTTTTGAAATTTTGTTGTTGTGCTTGATTTGTGTGTACAGTGATGATCGATTAGCAACGCCAAAGCGAAGACTACTCAGTACTAAATCTAAATTGGACAAGCAGGTAAGGTAAATAATCAATTACAAGTCCCAAGAAGAAAAAACAGAGCCAAGTACATAGGCTTTTATATACACACATCCTGCTTAGTATTTATGTAAGAAGACACACACACACACACACACACACATATACGTGCTGCATTTAATTTGCATGTAATCTAATTAGGCCCTGCTGTGCCAACATGCACTAACGTGGCAGGAGCTGTAAAAGCTTCAAGTGTCCTCCCATAAGAACAGGGCATATGGCATGTACACACACACACACACACAACACACCCACACACATCTATGGCATATGGTGTATGTACTTACGTGCCTTGATTCCTTAGGACTAGCCGGCAGGGATTTCAAGTCTATCGTCAAGACGCAAAAACGTCAAAAATTAACCATTAAAGTTTATCTCAAGGGAATATGCCAGGGCAATCGCACCTTCGGTAACTTAAATATCAATTTTTCAAGATATTCATTAAAGATGAGATAATATATGAAGATTTACTGAAGAAACCAAGCTGAGTATGCCTTTAGATGGGCACATAACTTGCCTAGTTACTTCTTTCTGTCAAATACCTGCTTGAACTCTAAAAAGTATGCTATATTTATGCAATTTCTAGAAGGAACTTCAACGTCCGCGTTCGTAGGTGAACTACGAATTGTAGGAAAATGTTTTTCTAAAACGATATTTAAGTGAATAAACGCAGCGACAATCAGGCAGACCATGCCAGTGAAATGGTGAAATGGAAAAGCGGCTAAGTTAATCAGTGAGAGGAGGAGCAAGCTCCTGCAAGCTACACCCACCACACACACACACACACACACACACTCGAATACCCTTTTTTGTGGGGGGAATTATAGAGATTGTGTATTCTCAGTTCGAGCGGTGCTGGGCGGATGTGGGAGTGGTCATCCGCGCACTCTCGCGTAATCATGATTAATTGCAGTGTAAATGACTTCGTTTTAAGCAGCCACGGCATTCTATTCTCCACTCGACTCCACTCGACTCCACCCAACCAAACTCT